CCCCAAAACCCCAAAACCCCAAAACCCCTTAAAATACAATAGACATATGTTTGATAAAATATGAAATATATTTATAATAAGTAAACTAATGATATTAGCGAATAATAGTTATACAAGAAAATAAACTCAAATCCTTCAAAAACTCAAATCATTTCATGGAAACCACAATGAGAATAACTAAGTCTTGAGAAGTCCAGAAAAAAATCATATGAAACAACTAAGAGAAAGAATAGAAATCTAGGTTGCAAGTAGTAGGGGTTCTCCTTCAATAAATAACACTAATATGATAGAATCAAATAGTAAAATTGAAGAAATCTAAGGAAGGAGTACTATAATTTCTGGGGATTTTAATAAGTAAAGTTCGACATCAAAGCATAAAAAGAATGCATTTACTTTCTAAGATTAATTTAGTAATTCTAATTCCAGTCTTCCAACTTAAGGGAAATAGATGAAATACTAATAAAATGAGATAATTATGGACTCTTAATAAGAACAGATCTTTAAATATTAGAATTAGCTATACAATTCTACCATTTAAAATATCCAAGATTAGAGGTCTAGGACAGACTCTTTCTCTCTTTAAATATAAAAGCAGATTTCAGAAGGACAATGCAATTATGACTCAAAAATAGGTTAAAACACCAGTTCTATTATGGATTTGAGATTTCCAGATATTTAATAGAAAAAGTTTTCCACTCCTACCATAACACCTAAATAATTCTAGCTAAAACATAATAAATATGCTGAACATCTATAGAAATTGAATTCAAGTGCTTGCAATATTAGTTTAAGTAGCTAAAAAAATACTATTCAAAACAGAGATCGGGAATATTCCTCAGAGTCCATTTCAAGTTAATTCACCTAGTAAAATAATAGTTAATAATTTAACTAATCAATATCTACCTAAGAACAATAATTATTATAAAATACTCAGGAGTTTTAAGGAAAAGAATAGTACAAGAAATCTAAATTCCAAAAACTGCACTAACAAAAAGCACAGACCTTGTAAAGAAGCCTATAGAGTCAATAAACCTACTAAATCAAAAATGCATTAGTAAATAAAAAGGTTCCTTATTCTAAAAACTCAGAAACATTACATGAACTAGCTTCCTAATTATTATAGGAAATTTCAGAGTTTGAATAAGACAAAATGTAATAAAATTTTTAAGAGACATAACTTGAGTAATAAGATTATCGAAGCTTAAAAAACCAAACTCATGATAACTTTTAAAACCAAGAATCATTTAATTAGAGTAATCATAGTGAGCTAGAGCCACATTAGATGCATATAATCAAACTAATTGCTTCCAAAAAACTTAAGAGATTGATAATTACTGAAGAAGGCCATAATCAAGAAATTAATAAAAATTATAATAAATCATTTGAAAATTTTCATGAGGATGATTTGAAATAGAGTTATACCAATCACTTTAAATCTGAAATATTAGAAAATAAAGATACTTTATAAGAGGGAAATCAATTTTAAAACGTTGCAAAGTTTTATACCATTACTTCTTCAAAAGAAGGATTTTAAAGCTGTAAGATTAAGCAAAATTTCTATAGTCCTAAGAATATTCTTCATCAATTGAAATCATTCGAGAATTCCGAGGATAATTAGCATACTCTAATTGACTAAATTCCATTGATTAAATAGAGTTAAAATGAAATCAAAAGGCCCTCATGTATGAAACCTCCTTTAGCCTAGGGAAAAGTTAATAATACTTATAATTAAGTAGCCAAAATATCTACTCCTTAATATTCAAAGAAAAAAATCAGGTTTGACATAATTGATGATCATCGAGATTTTAGTCAGAGGAAATAATCTTATGATCATGATGAAAATAACTAAAGAAATGAATAAAAGTTGGAATATAATAAAAATAATTCTACTTCATCTGGAGATTCAAACAAAGATGAGAAAAAATTTAGCTAATCAATGATTATGCAAAACGCTGATAATAATTCCACTTGCTCAACAAGGTCATTGACAAGAAAGATTTCAAATATCAAAATTAAAAAGCAAAATGACTATTCAAGTAATTTCTTTGAAGAATTTGATAGTAGTTCAAATCCAAGTCCTCAACCAATTAAAAATCCATTAATTGTAGCGTAGCAAGCTTTCAAAAAGCACTTTTAGAAGGACTACGATCCTCTAGGGGCAATCAACAGCTTCTAAATCAATAATAGACGAAAATTAGTAGCTTAGATGTGCCCAATAAAAGTTGAAAAATTTTGAAATAATAACATTAGAAGCAATTTTAGCCAGTTAGTAATAGACTATTAATCAACCTTTTAATTAATGCTAAATTGCTCTATCAAATATTAAATTGATTTAAAATATTCGCCATTTCTTAATTCCCTAAAAATATTAAATATTGATAAATTTATTAACTACCTGATAAATTATATTTTGATATAATGGGGTTTTGGGGTTTTGGGGTTTTGGGG